GGTCTGAATTCATCATGGTGCCTGGGCGTGGGGCTGACCGCAGGGGTACATAAGCATCACTGGGTCAACACTAAGTGGTGAATTCACTAGTCTTGCACTTTAATAACCAGAGACAAATTTCAAGCTCATGTGAACTTTGGCTTGAAGAGTGAATTTCCACTGAAAGTCTTCAGTAGTTGCACATCTTGGGAAGTGAGGCTCAAAACTTCCCTCTGATAAAACCCAAAGACAGGAATGCACATGCCAAGCTCTATGTTCCAGGGCGTATCACTGAGAAGGGTCTTTGATGTCTTATTTTAGCTCAATAGAATTCTTGCAAATTTTCAATTACATTATAATATATATTCATGCAAAGTATAAAAATGTTTTCCATCACTTACTAGTTTATTACTAGCATTTATATATCATGTCCTCTGACTCAAACCTGTGCTCTACAGCCTCAGGTTCTTTCTGGAATACTATGTATTTCATAATGAAAAGTAATCTGCATGGCTTAAAGGAATGACGCTAATGGCACTGGGGTAACCTTCCGTGACCTGGTCTTTGCTAAACTTCTCAGTTCCAGCGCTCACCTTTCCCGCCCCAGCAACCCCAGCCACCCTCTTTGCTTGGGCGACTCGCCACTTGGAAAGCCCTTCCTTCTCTTGCCTTCCTCAACAGTGTGGGAAATAGCAGTACCAAGAAATGTCTCCAAATGATAGTCTGGAGGCTGAGTGCCTTGTCCTCTGCTAGCTGCGTGCATCCTGATTATAATAATTAGGGCCATATTCTAACAATCTGTTGATCTGTTTACTCAGGACTCAAGCTGCTCAGAAGGACTTCCTTTTTTCAACTTTTGATTCACTGGCACCCAGTTAGGTCCTGATGCACCGGCACTCCATATATCTCAGTTGAGTTGAGCTGAACTGGGCTCTTATACAGTTTGAACGATTACTTTCTCTATAAAAATAGACAGGGCAGAATACGCAGAAAATAACTAAGGAGAGGGTGTTTTGGATAAGCCCCAACGTTTGCAGTTATTACCAGAAGCTCTTGATTACTCAGAGACAAAGAAAACCTTTGGCTTAGATCATCCCAAACAAACAAACATCTTAGAAAACATGAAAATTATCCCAGACAAAGAAAATCTTAGAAAATATGCAAATTAGATGCCAGCTCACAGTGTTCACGTGCTTTCTCCCCCTTGGACATTTCTGGTGGTGGTGAGGAACTGAAGGAGGAGTGATCCCCTGTGGGACTGAGGACCAATATTCAATCTAGCTGTAGGATTCAAGAAATGACCTTTGTCTCTCCAGCCTCTGGCAAAGGGAGTAATGGGAAAATAAATGATTAAAAAGGATGTTTAGAGGAAAAGGAGGAAGAACTAGTTGGAACTTAGACCAATCAGAAGCTAACTTTTTAAAAGTAAAATTTGACTATGTATCAACATATATTGAGAGGTAAACATGTGAAATAGTCTTTCTAAAAAAGAATCAAGAGCACTAGAAAATGTATGGCTCTGAAAGTTTGTTTTCCAGGGATGTAGTTCCCAGAATAGTAAAAATAATTAAGAACAGAATTTGTTTTGCTTTATTTTAATTTTATTGTGCTAGTTAAAAAATTTGAAAGTACCAGAAAAATGAGGACAAAATTAGTAACAAAATATTCTTTTTATTATGAGAAATATAACTCAGAAATGTTCTGATGTTACTGGAGAAGTTGTGTAAGACAGGGGACCTTATCTCAATGCTCAGTATGCTTACCTATTGTACCATCCTATAATTTTTATAATTTTGTATGGCTCTGTATTTTTTCTTCTTAAAAACCATCTCATAAAGCATCAATTGTTTGATTACTAGTAATTCAATCTGTGAAACACAATGACCTATATTTCAGACTGTAGGATTTTTTTTCCTTTAAAAATTCATTTTCCAGCTTTATTGAGATATACTTGACATATAACCTTAGGTAAGTTTAAGGTGTGCAGTGTGTTGATTTGATACCTTTATATATTGCAAAATGATTACCACCATCACATTAACTAGCACCTCCGTTCCATCACCTAATTACCATCCATTTTAGGAAGTTATATTTTAAAAACTCAAAACTTCAAAAGGTATTTACTTATGAAAGACATATAAAAGCTGATATACAGATTATGTAGAAAAATGACTGACTTTCAATGCAGAGACTTCTAGCTGTCCCCTCCCCGTATAGCTCCTCTCCCCTTCTCAGATGCAACCGCTTGATTCTTGGCTGCACACGGTGTCCTCTATCTCAGACTATATTTCTCTGGCTGTCTTACTGCAGTGTGGTATGGCCATGTGACTAGCTTTTGGCCAATGAGAGCTAAGTGGAAATGTGGTGTGCAATGTCTAGGAAAGAACCTCTAAGTGTTAATCTTCTTTCCTTTCTTGCTGGCTAGAATGTTGGTGAAATGGTTAGAGTCTAAGCAGCCATTTTGGACTAGGAGTACACTAAGATTGGCAAATGCAGCAAAATAGAAGAAATCTGATCCTTGATGACTGTGCAGCTGCCACACTAGCTCTGGACTGTCTGCCTCCACCAGACTTTTTCTTACATGAAAGAGAAATGTTTCTATTTGTTTAATCCACAGTAGGTTTTTTTTTTTTTTTAGTATCAAAAAATATAACATAAAATCACTTGCTTTGCACGATACATGCTAGGGATCCTAAGTGATAAGTTGGAACCAAGCAGCTTCTGACCACTCACTGACCATCTCTTTTTCTTACCATATCACGGAATGAAAGAACTGTGTCCAGTTATGAGCTTTACTGAGGCAGATGGCACAGTGACATTTACAGTTTCTTCTATCAGCATTTCTGACTGCTCCCTGGTGTGCAACTCAAAAGCAAGCTGTACCGGTCCTTTGAGCTAGAGTGCTGAGCTCGGAGGGGTGATCTGCTTTCTGCCCATCTCGCCAGCTCCAGCGTACAGCGCTCCTTCACACTCGCTCTGCTCCAGCTACAAGGACTTTGTATTCCCTGAACCCACCAGGCTCACTCCTGCCTCAGTGCTTCGGCATGAGCTGTTCCTTCAGGCTCGAAATGCTCTTCTTCACACGAAGTACATCTGTATCACTTGAGTTTTGGCTTAACTATCCTTGCTTCAATAAGACCTTCCCAGAGCAGCCATTACAGTCCAGTCCCTTATCATATCATCCTATTTTCCTCCTATCACTTTGTGAAATTATCTTTAGTGGTTCATCCTTAGTCATTTGTTAACTGATTTAGTGACTGTGCCTCCTTCCCACTTCCTGGTCCCTGAACACTAATGGGGATCTTGCCCAATTAACCCGTCACCTAGACCGATGAAGCACTGGACACAGGATTACGGAATGAATGGATGTGAGAATGAATGACTCTAGACAACAGCCAAGTCCATACTAAGAGCAGCTGCATTCAGCATCCCATACCATGCTCACTGCCACAGCACCTGGGGTGTCTCACATCACCCTACACATTTATGACATCAACAGCCCATCATTAAAAACTAGATCTTTGGGGGAGGGTATATATACCTCAGTGGTAGAGCACAGAGCACAGGTTTAGCATGTATCAGGTCCTGGGTTCAACCCCCAGTACCTCCATTAAAAAAAAAATCTAATTACCCACTCCCCAAGAAGCAATTTATCATTGAAAAAAATAAAGAATGAGATTTTAAAAATTATTTTTTCCAGAAAAGAAAAAAAAGGCGATCCTTAAAGGTAGTGACCAATTCGGTTCACCTCTGTGTCCTCCACAGCCTAACACAGAACCTGTGACATACATACAATGGACACTCAATACATATTGGCTGTATTGTATGAAAAGGTGCTGTACCCACCAAAAGCAAGGCCAGCTCTCCTAGTGACTCTAAAGAGGCTCCAACTTTAAAACTTTTAAAAGTGCCAATGTCCGGATTTGCCATCCTGTTTGTCATGCCCATGTCTCCCCTGGCTTCTCAGCATTTCTACAAGGCTTCTCCTCACACAACGGGCTTGTAAGTGGCTATGCGGCCAGCTTCTTTTAAGACCCGTGGAGGTCTGTCTGTCTCATTTACAGTCAGGGGCCCGAGGACTGTGACCAGTGACAGGTTTTACTGGATAAGATCCCAACCGTCGGCTCACGGAAGAACATCTCACAGCGTTTAGGGCACTTGTTCCCTCCAGGCTACTTGACTAAACACAGTCAACTTGGATGCAACTCCTTCGTATCATAACACTGCCCCACCCCAACTGCAAGGGCTGGTCTTGCAACCAAAACATATGACACGCTATCCAGGTAATTAAAAGCTGAGAGATGAATAAGGGCTATTTCAGACCCGGAAATTCCTCTTATGTGAAGTGATTCATTATGTTGGTAAAATGGGCAACAGCACAACTTAGGAAAAATCATATCACTAATGTAGTTTATTAATACCTTTCCTTCAGGGGTGACACTAAAGGCCTCAACAAAGATTTTTATTGTTTTTTCAGAAAGACTTTACAAACCTCAATCAAGAGATCTGAAATTCTGTAAAACATATGCTCGTTCCTTAACTTCAATTTCCTTCAGTAGTTTTATAGATCCCTCAGGCCTGCAAGAGCAGAACCAGATGGCGCTTGGAAGGGCTTTACAGTGTGTGTCTGCAAAGCCACGACACGCTGAAAAGTTCTGCCGATCCTAAGCTTCTGGTATTAATCGTGATATGAAATGACCCTTGATGTAGCTTGCTTTATATTTTGTAATCTGGTGTACTAATCATAGTGCCTAAATATTTTCTTCTGGAGATTCAAAAAATACCCAGTAACATCATCTAGCCGAGTCGGAAAAGCAGGCCAGCATATGTTTATATAACATAGCACTTCTCCCCAGGGCCTACCTTGCCCCATAAATTGTTGTACTGGTGTGAAAAAATACAAGTCAGGTCTGAACAACAACAAAAAAGTCCTCCTCTTAAATCACAACCATATTTGCGAGAGGAGAGGAAGACAGCGACATATTTAAAGTTGCAGCCAAGCTTGTCACACTATTTTCTCTTCATTTTCCTTTCCTAAATAATTTCTTCTTGTTGCATTTTCTACCTTTGGAGAATCCACACTCCCCCCTAACCTGATGTCGTAATTCCTTTTTAGTAGTTAAATATTTCAGTCACTTGTGGTACAGGGACACTTGTTAATCATTATCATTTGAATCATTATTACAGGCAAAGATGCAGAATTATGGTACTGGAAACAAAACTAAAGGAAGGAATGTTTCCCAACGGGAACACCCTGCCCACCAACTGAGAACAGCCCTCTCTGGCTGTGGCTGGAGTAACTGAAGTCTGCACTGAACTTTCAGACATTTGGGAGACGGACTTCTGGTGACTTCAGGCATGCAGAATGTACTGAAGGAAGGGGAAAGAAACAGTGTGTCGGTGTGGAAAGAACCCCCGATCAGTGATACAAGCAGCTGAGCAGAGCTGAAGATGGAAACATTATACGCAGATAATGAATGGCTTAGTTTATCAACCAGATGGAAGTAAGCACTTTGACTGGGGCACTGACATGAAAAGGAATTGATACCTTTAATGTTAACAAGTCCGGGAGAAAAACGGAGAGGAATGAGAAGGTGAGAGAAGAAATGTAAAATGAACAGAGAACAGTGTGTATGGTAAGGGGATAACTGGCTGGGTTCCAACTGTGGCTCAGATACTTCCAAGCTGTGTGACCTTGAGAAAGTGACTTAACCACTCTGTGTCAGTGAAATGTGTAATAGGAACAACCTCACAGCGTCGTGTTAAACGCTCACAGCGTTAAGTGAGCGAAGACATGAGAAATGCTTATGGTGGTGACTGGCCCTCAGTAAATGACGCCCTTTACCATCTGAGTGGCAACTGTACATTCTCTGATGATCTGGGACGACTGGGTTTTCACTGGTATATATACACATACATACATAAATATATATATATATATTTAATGGGATGGATATTATATACGCTGGTTTTGCCATTAAGAAGATATGAGAGGCTAGAATATAAAGTCAGGTAGAATTTCTATTAACGTGTTGAGGGAGTCTGGTGGGTATTGAGAAGGAAGAATTAAAAACCTAGGCACTTTTAAAAAGAGATGTGAATGCTAACTTAGGGAAACTGATCAGGGCCCTGGGCATCCCGGGAAATAGCAGATAAATCAGGGAAATCAATGGAATGCAAGGAAAATGGCTGCAAGGAGAAAAGAAAGAGTTTCCATTTTGGAGTAGGGAACCGGCATGGGCCCTGAAGAGAAGGTGTTCAGGTCCTCAGGATGTGAGAGCAAGCCAACAGGACACGAGAAGAAAGCCTGGGATGAATTCTCTGGGTCGTTTGCTATTTCTCTGCTTACCACAAAGGTCCCTGATATGGATTTACACAAAGCAAAGAATGCCTGGGATCAGACAGTGCCTGGAGAACACAGCAGGTGCACAGTAAATGCTGGTTCCCTTCCCCCTCCGTCTTTGTGAGCAAGGGTTTTCTTTCCAACACACTGAGAGAAATGGCTGTCTTCAGACGGGGGCTGCAAAGATGAATCTAGAACATAAATTGGAAATGACTATAAAGTCCTGATCTATATATGGATACGCATCCAAGCTGAATATAGACGCAGGAGACCCGTACCTGTAAGCTGCCTAATTTGTGTAAAATTTGCACCCTGAGAGCCTGTTAACTGGAGAGAAGAGTCTGTGCCCTCCAGCCTTGATGATGTTCCTCGGGAGAGGACACCATGAAGGGAAGCCTGCAGGGAAACTGAATCTTAGGAGTTGGAAGGCAATGTCGCAGGTGTAGCGGAGTGAGGCTCTGCTAAGTACCACTAGTGGCTGATACTGGGGTTGGTTGAGTGAGACCAGCATCCTGTGCTGCTGCTGGAAATCATTACTTTGTGGAAATCTCTAGATGTTAGGGAGATGTTCTTATCTGAGCTGAAATCTGCCTCTCTCTTACCTCTGCTCCACTGTTTCTCATTTGTTTGTTCAAAACAAACAAGCAAGGGAAGAAATTTACTTAACGATAATTTATTTGACACTCACTTAGGGGGCACTAGATGCCCGACACCGCTATATCTGAGTGAGTCAGTAAAGAGATGAAGGGCAGGGCACCCCTGAGGAGGAGGGAGTGCAAGCACCTGGCTCGTGGCTCAGGCGCGGAGGACGGACGGAGGAAGGACAAGACCTTGAAATGTCCACAGAGAGAAGAAACGTGGAGGAGGCAGTGCTGTCAGGAAAACAGAGATTCCCTCATCTACACAAATTCCCGGAACACCTGCAAGGAGGGTTAGTCCCTTCGGACGTCTAATTTCCAGGTGCCACCTCAGGTTCCTCTGGATAACGATGACCAGAGGAGCAGGTAGGGCAGGGTTTAAGGTAGCTGACCAGACAGCTCAGTCAAATCCTACCTCTGCCACTCAGCATATCAGTGGGGTACCAGATGAGTACTTAACTTCTCTGTGCCTCTGTCCCCTCGTCTGTGAAATGGGCACGGTAACAAGTTTGCTGGGGGGTGGATCCAGTGAGTTGAGGACATGCATGGCCTGACGATGGTCACGGCCAACATGATGGCGTCCGCCTTGACTGCTTGTCCTCTCACTCCTCGCATCCAGTCTGTTAGCAAATCCTATTGGCTCCACCTTCAAACTGGATTCAGACTCTGACCACTCTCACCACTGCTGCCCTCCTGGCCCAAGTCACCGCCACCTCTGGCCTGGGTTATTGCAATAATCTCCAAAGTGGCTCATTACACGGCAGTTAGAATCCTGCTGTGGAAACCTAAGTCAGATCACGACACCTGTCTCTCAAGCCCCTCCAATGCTCTTTGTCTCTCCGTGAGTAAAAGGCACAAGGCTCTGTGGGAAACACAGCAGAGATCCTGAGTCTGAGATCCTGACTCCCCTGGCCTGCTGTGTCTGTCTCTACAGCACTTACATTCGGCCATATATTTTACCCAATTGTTTTATTTGTCTGTCTCTTCCCAGTAGGAAAGTTGAGAAGGGCATGGGTTTTTGTGTATTTTACTTGTGAATGAATCCA